ACGGCTACCCCTCTGATACTAAGCCAGGTTAGTCATTTTTCATGAAAAACCACAAAGGAGGATTACCCCATAGCACAGCAGTTAGAGCCCTCACACAGGATGTGATCTGGGTTCAAATCTCTATACTGCCTGATGTGGAGAAGGGACTTGAACTTGGGTTTCCGACCTCTCAGCAGGCTGACCTAACCACTAGAGTCACTCACACTCTTTCTCCGGCCATGAATATTTCATTATTCACTATAAAGTGGAGCAGCTGCAACAAGAGATTGAAACCAGTGGTTTGGATACTCTCATGGGAGGTGGAAGGACCCAGCAGAATAGAGATTTGACTCCAGGTTTCCCACATCCTGGGTGAGCATATCCAGCCACAAAAAGTTGGGACCCTCTGGGACTTCACCAGTAGAAACTCAGTCACCTTGGGACTTTAGGGGCCTACAGGGTTAGATGGCAGCTGAGCAGTGATTTTGTGAGTGCAAGTGGTGCCTAACTGCTACACTAGGCACCCAAGTCCCTCTTGTGAACCCAGCCCTAGCACTTCCACCCATACAGCCAGAAGTGGCAATTTTTCCTAAAATTTCCTACTGTAAAATACCCACAATATTTCTAGGTGACATAAAAATAAATGGTTATTGCTGGGAGAGGCAAAAGATTTAAAACAGCAGGCAGCAGCAAACCTAAGTATAAAAGGTCAAAACCTGCCTTCTTCATACTTATGGAAATAAGAGGCCCTCTGCACCGGACCGGCTGACGTTCTGTTGTACAGCAGGGGCAGACTGTAGACAGACCTCTCCACCCCGGGAAGTACCATGGTGGTTCCCTCCACAGCAGTGGATGAAAATAACTATGGGTCCATGATTGCTGAGCCACCTATAAAACACGACACCCACCACCTGCCCACAGGTGAGAAAGGACAGGGGCACAAGGCTTCAGACTATGGGATGTAAGCAGAAATTTATACTGATGCTCTGGATCACAAGAAGAGGCTTTCATTCCCCCAATCCCTGCAGAGATCCCCATGTAAAGCCTGGTTTTGTAAAGGACAATAGGATTGAACCTAAGATTCCAAATACATTTGTTACATTTCAGCAATTTTAAGGGGGAGGTATCAAATTCTGGACCGAAACACAGCTTATGTTGTTCCTTTAGAGACAGGGTGCCTAACATGTATGTGCGTTCTTTGGGTTCTTTTTAGCAACAAGCTTCAAAAGCTTCAATACATCAGATGCTGAAGGTCTCTTTGCAATGTCTTTTGAGAGCAATTGCTCAATTATGTATTTCTGTAAAACAAACAAACAAGGTACAGTATATATTAGAGGAAATAAAATACTGAACATGAATAATGAGGAAATAGATGAAATAATGTGTTATACTGTACCTCTAATGGAAAGTTCTTGCTGAACTCCTCTGGAAGTACACATTCTCTTATTTTGGGCCACTCCTAAAAATGACACCAAATAATTTTTTTAGTATGATATTTTCATTGACTGCATTTTGAAGCCCTGTGATTGAACCACACAAAGCATGAAAACAAAATAATCAGAAAACGTAGTGACAGGTAGAGAGCGAGACTTCAAAAGACAGCATTTGTCAAAGGAAGTATCTGAAAGCTTTCCATTTGGCTGTAAGGTGTTTTTAAAAGTGTTCTGTAGAGCTTTGAGTTTGTTGGCTTTTTCACCTTATGAGCCTCAAGGTCCATGAAGACCTGCTTCTGCCTTATTTTTGTCAAATCCCTGGTTCTCACTGTCAATTAAAAAGAAATAGTAGTTCTGCACCCCAATCTCCATCGAAAAATCTACAGGAGAGGACTTAAACTCGGGCCCTGCTGGCACCACTGCTACTTGTGAGACAAGCAGATGCAAATAGCATTCCCCACCCACACCATGAATGCCATTAAAAAAGGTGGTTTTGAATTTTTCTAAGTCACTTTTAAATAATCAGTGCTAAGTCACAATGACTTGACTTTTTAAACCCAGGTGCCTAAAATTAGGCTCCTAAATACTTATTTAGGTACATAAATAGAAGTGGCCTAATTTTCAAAGATGCTGAGCAACCCTCGCTCTAAATTAAGTCAATAACAGTGGCAGGTGCTCTGCACCTTTGAAAAATCAGACCACTTCTAGTTAGGTGTTCATATATGGATTTAAGAACTTAATTTCAGGCATAGTTTTCAGGTTTGAAAATTTTAGCTATGCTCCCTGCCCCCAAAAGCTTGTAATTGAAGACAAGACCGGACCAAGGAAGGTGACCAGCATTGGGAAGGCAGGGGAAAGAGGACAAGCATTACAGCAAAAAGGATAAAGGTAGTATCAGAGATCTAATTTTAAAAAATTATGCTGAAGGCAGAGAAACCTCTGTTTTGATCATCAGACACATGCCTTTTGACCAAGAGTACAAAGCAGGGTGTATAGGTTACTAGCTGTAGAGTGCTTCAGTCCCATGCAGGTAAAGGTGATCTATATTTTACAGGACAGAAGTATGGTCTGTAGTTAGGCACTGGACTGGGACCTAGTTCTAGATTCAATTTCTGTCTCTGCCACAGACTTACTGTGTGGCTTTGGGCAAGGCCCCAATCCTGAAAAGACTGAAACACATGTGTGTAAGTTTATGCACCTGAGTAATACCATACACTTCAGTAAGACTACTCATATGTATAAAGTAGAGCTGGTAAAAAAGGTTTTTTTGATGCAAAATGTCTTTTTAATTAAAAAAAGGCAAAATTTGCAGCAATTTTTAATTGATTTTAAAAATAAATTTTTTAAACAAAATGAAAATTTGTTTCAAATAAAAAATTGTTTCATTTTTGAACAAGTGTTTTTTTGCGGGGGGTTCTCTCTTACCTTCTCTTTTTTCTTCCCTCCCTTATTCTTGCCCTTTTGGAGGATAAAGGGAGAGAAAAGATAGCAAAAACCAAGCAAAACACCCAAATTCTAACATTTGCTTGGTTTTTGAACGTTGAAAAATATTCAGTTTTTACAAAATGTAGCAGGGTGGTTACCCCACTCCTGCCTGAGGGGTTTAAAACAGCCCTGGCAGAGGGCTGGGCAAGGTAAAACCCTGGCTGATTGGGGGAAGTGGCTGCACCTGGGCCACACCCTAATCAGAGCCCAGATGGCCTGTATAAAGAGGCTGGGAGCCAGAAGCTCAGCAGGTAATTGCTCTCTGGGTGCAGAGAGAGAAGGGCCTGGCTGCAGGGAGCTAGACAGGGTACTTGAGTGGGGCTGGGGAGCCCCAGCCTGGATAGCCCCAGCCTGTGGCCTGGTAATAGGCCAAGGGGTACTGGGGGTTGCAGAGGGCAACCCAGGGCTAGGCCAAGGCAGCAGGTCCAAACCCAACCTTGCCAATGATGAGTGGCCTATACTGCAGTCTGTCCCAGAGAGTGGGGGCTAGATGGTGACTGGTAGTGGCCTTATCCTGAGGTGAGGTGGGGTTAGTGGGTGGGGGGTTCCCCTGGGAGGGGAGACCTAGCGTGTGTGGGTATTGCCAGGGGGCAGCACCCAGAGCAAGGGGCACTGGGGTCCTGGGAGGGACATGGGGGGCCAGAGAAGAGGAAAGGTGGACCACTGGCCTGCAGAGGGTGCTCCAGAGGTTGGAGAGCTAATTCCCTGGATGACCAACAGGAGGTGCTGCAGGGGTGAGTCTGGACCCTCCTACACAAAAGCAACCTGTTTTTTCCCATAGAAAAAATTTTAAAGGTTTTTTTTAATTTCCCATTTTAAAAAAAAAAATGTACCCTTTACAACCAAGTCTTAGCATAAAGTTACACATGTGGTTAAGTATTTGGAGGATCAGGGTTTTAATCTTGCTGTATTTCAGTTGCACAGCTGTAAAATAACACAGTATTTCTTTACCTTACAGGGTTTTTCTGAGGATAAATGAGACACTCTGATACCATAGTGCTGAGGGCCACATAAGTATCTCAATTGATATTTCTCTCTCTCTCTCTCTCCTCCCCCTCTCTGATGGAGATTAAATTTGTTGTACCAGACAGCAGAGCTGTCTGACATACTAGATAGCAGATGTAGCCAATGATTTTAGTTTATTGTTCATTTATTGTGCAATGTTATGATTAATCAACATCATATATATTCACTGTATGTTAATTAGAGTTAATTTGTAAGATTATAGAAGTAGAAGATTGATCAGTATTTAGAGGAATCGTATTGGGTAAAAGTAAGTAGGGCTGAAATGCAAGGCCTATAGGCTGAGGCCTGTAAGATTTTAGCTTACCCATACTAGGCCATCAAGTTAAGAAATGCTGATATAACTAAGTGACCGAAGAATAACCCAATGCCCTAAGGTTACGGGAAAAGATGTGCCAGTGGGTGATATTGCAAAACAATAACAGTAAAAGTAATTTTTTGCTTACAAGATATACCTGGTAATCACGTTTTGCAACACATGCCCTAACTGCAGTGTGCATGATGTGCAGAAATGCTAATGAGGTTAGTTAGAATTGCATTATAAAAGAGGGTGCCTGCTTAGGAAAGTTGAGCTCCCTATGGGAAACTCCAGCAGGAACCATCCCTCTACTAATAATCAATCCATGAAAGACCTATGAGACCCTAACACTTAAGGATGTGAGTAGAACTAGTAGAACTATATTTGTAACTTGTGCATAGGTTCAGAAAGAATTTCTATATGCTTGGGTATTCATAACTTTCACTGAAACTTTAATAAAACTTGTAAAACAGACTAGATTTTGTACTTGTGCATGTCTGTGTGGTCACTACCCTTGGTCTTTATGTATTCCTAGAGACTCTAAATCTGAAGCAAGTTGCAAAGGTGACTTTCACTCTGTTAAGACTGAAACTGTAGCTGCCAGAGCTGAACCCACAGTGGTGTAATACCACATTACAAATTCACTTTAAATAAAATGGAAGGCTACACAGAGGTGACAAACAGCACCAAAACACATTGACAAGTGAATGGTGCTAGGGTAATTTCTGTTTTAAACGGTGGGGGACAGTTTTTATTAACAAAAGCAATATGCATATGTGGGTCTCACTGAAATGAATTTTCAGGAAGGACAAGAATGAAGAGAGGATGAACACCTGGTGTACTGGTATAAGGAAGGTATTCCAGACATAAGGAACACTACATCATATACAAGTAATACCTCAAATCATATTTTGCCTTATATAGTTTTCTTCTGACCTATTTTTCATTAATAATTTAAGATTACTTACCTTAAATTTTTCAGTGTCAGTGGAAAATATCCAAAGAATTTCAAAGAGAATTAATCCTAGTGCAAATATATCCACTTCCTGTCCATATTTGTCTCCAGCCTGTAGTGATTACAATAAAAATAACATACCAGACATGCCTTTTAGGTCTAAAAATGTTTTGTAATTTAAGTGTTGTCAATGAGAGTTTTGCCTTAGGACTGAATGATTGGGACCACCAGGCCCTCATACAAGTCCTTAAATCTCTGTGCCAAAGATGCCCCATCTGTGAAGTAGGGATAATATTTACTGTTAAGTGAAATGAAATATACAGACTTTAAAGCATCCATAGTCCCACATATGTAGGATAAATAATTGATTCCCCCTTACAGATACAGAGATTCTAAGGCCAAGATTTTCAATAATGGATGCCTAAAGTTACCCAAATTCACATTTAGGTACCTAAATTAGTGGCCTGGTTTTCAAAATTGCTGATCACCCACAGCTCCCACTGACTTCAAGCTTTGTAATGTAAGACAGTATCTATGAGATAGGATCACCTCATTTCACAGCTGATTTATGCAATTTACTTCAGATTTTCCAGTTTAAAAAAAAAACCTATCCTGGTTTGGATCACACCTGGAAAATTTTAGGCAACTGGTTTAATACTGGAGAAATTAGGACAGGGATAGTTAAATCTGGACTTAAATGCAAGGATAACTATGGAGACACTCGTGTCTCCTGATGTCTTACTATTAAACCTGCAGTAATGGTTACCTGTTCTGGGCTCATATATGATCTTGTTCCTTTTTCTGTTGTCCGAAGGTCATCTATCATTGAAGTTACAAGTCCAAAGTCACCTATTTTTATTTTATCTTCACTAGATATGAATATGTTGAGGGGCTAAAAAGGACAATTAAAAGAATGTCTCAGTTTCACATTACAAACTTTTAGCACCAGGAAAAAAATCAGTCATAGGGTACTTCAGTGGAAGAGTTGCTAAACATTCAAGGAAATGAATAAGTTGTGTATCAACATAAATGTAAATTTAACAATGAGATTTTAAACACACTAGTCAGTTATTGTGTCAGTCATGATTTCAAATTTTAATTGTTCTCATTGGTGCATACAGTTAAGTACTACTGTGTTATTCTATAGCGATGGTTTTCAAACTTTTTTCTGGTGACCCAGTTGAAGAAAATTGTTGATGCCCATGTCCCAATGGAGCTGGGGATGAGGGGTTTAGGATGTGGAGGGGTCTCAGGGCTGGGGTAGGGGGTTGGTGTGCATGAGGGGGTCAGGGCTCTGGGTTGGGGGTGCAGGCTCTGGGGTGGGGCTGGGGATGAGGGGTTTGGGGTGCAGGAAGGGGCTCCAGGTTTGGGGGGACACTCAGGGCTGGGGCAGGGGTTTGGGGTGTGGGCTTACCTCCGGCGACTCCCGGTCAGTGGCACAGCTGGGGTGCATAGGAAGGCTTCCCACCTGTCTTGGCACCGCAGATCGCGCTGCACCCCAGAAGCGGCCAGCAGCAGGTCCGGCTCCTAGGCAGAGGCGCACAATTGGCTCCACGTGGCTCTCTCCTGCAGGCACTGTTCCCACCCAAGCTCTCACTGGCAGGAACTGGCCAATGGGAGTGCCAAGCCAGTGCTTGGGGCGGGGACAGCATGCAGAGCCCTGTGGTCCCCCTGCCTAAAAGCTGGACCCACTGCTGTCTGCTTCTGGGGCACAGCGCGGTGTTGAAACAGGTAGGCACTAGCCTGCCTTAGCTGGGCAGCACTGCCAATAGGACTTTTAACATCCTGGTCAGCAGTGCTGACCAGAGCCACTAGGGTCCCTGGGTGCTGAAGAAGGCGATCCACTGCCTTACATGCCGTGACCCAGTACGGGGTCATGACCTGAACTTTGAAAAACACTCCTCTATAGGGCATTAACTTCAGTACACTAAAATATATGATGTTATATGTGATTTATTAAAACTGATTTTGAACTCAAACTTGAAACTTAATATATACCTAATATACAGCATTTCACATTCAAAAGCACTTTGTGGTTTTATAACCAATCTTACACACACTGACAGACCCTTATGCTCACATAGAGTCCCACTGGAAAATAAAATAACGGTTCAACATTTTCTGATCTTCCAAACACTTACTCATACATCTGTCCATCCACACAATAATCATCTGTTCTGCTTACCTTGAGGTCTCTGTGAATAAACCCTTTAGAATGAATATATTCCACTCCTGTCACTATTTGTCTAAATTTGATGAGAGACTCAGTCTGGTAATTTTCCTTCCCTCTCCTATCATTAATCCAGCCCTCCAGTGTTCCTTTCTCACAGAATTCCATTTGGATAAAAAGGCAATCACATAGCAAATCTGGCCTCGGGCTGTAAGAGTAAAATGAAATCACAGTATTAAAAACAGCACTACACAATTGTTCTTAAGCAGTTGGCTCAATAGTTTGCTGGTTTCCAACCTCCCATTTGGCTGCAGGCCCCCCACAATCATGGCCAAAAGTCCCTAATTTTTTAGGACCACTACGGGTAGGCTTGGAGCTCCCAGTGACGGCACTGGAGTCAATCCTAGCTCCCAAACAGCCAGTTGCCTGCCACTGAACCCTGTTAAGTTGCCTTACATCAGCTTACCTCAACCTAATTATGCCAGTGTACACACTACAGCTTTGTCCCCCCAATGTAAGTGCCCTACTACACTGACATGACATAACTCCATCTCCACAAGTGGCATAGCACTTATGTCAGTGTAGTTAGGGCAACGCAGTGTCTGCATAGACACTGCATTACTTACATCGGCTGTTGGCTGTCTTGTCAGTTTCACAGCTCCATGTTGGAGCTCCCTGCTCCCCAGCCAGGCTGCGCCCAGAGGCTCCCCACTCCGGGAGCTGAGAAACGTGGGGTGGCTGCCCCCCAGCTCCCAGCAGGGAGCCGAGAGCCAGGAGTGGGGACAGAGGGGCTCCCAGAAGGGAGCTACGCAGAGCTTAGATACTTGGCCCTCAGCCCCCCACAATGCCCCTCTTCAATCGGTGGAAGCACTGCTAGTGAGGACATGCACCACAGACAGAAGGAGGGTAGTGTGGACAGTAATTACTGCAGTGGCTGTAAGTCGACCTAACATAGGTAGACTTAGGGCTGTAGTACAGACATGCTCTGAGTCAGCTCTCCTGAGGAGCAGCCAGTGGGCTCTCTGGCCACAAGGTGGGGCAGAACAATAGCATGGGACAAGGGCATGATCTAGTGAGTAAAACACAGGTTTGAGAACAAATAACTCCTGCATTTTAATCCCAGTGCAAATACCATCTCCCTCACTTGCTGAAGATCCTAATAGTGATTTGGCTTCAATATAAGACATCATTCCAAATTAGGCCTAAATGTCAGTGTACATATCTGCAACACATACTGTTCACCAAAAAAGTGGCAATTCATTAACCAAAAGGAGATGTACATGTATATCTTTCATTAAGCATACTGCCTGATGTTAAATATTTTTCATGTTCTTTCTTCTTTTATTAGCTGGAAAAAATATAAGTGTAGGGATCTGCAATTCACTCATTTTTTGCCACACATCTGCAATAGGGAAAAAATAATCTGATTATTCCAGTTAAAGAACCATTGATTACACTACAGAATTCATATTTATTTACCTTGAAAGGCTTGAACTGTCCTCAAAATTGAGATAGTCTTTCCCAGTCCAAGAGGTGTAATACCGTATGATGTTTTCATGCTCAAGATCTGCTAGTGCTTGTACCTCACGCTGTACTTTACTAAATTAACGAAGAAAAATTCTCATTACACAACACTGAAGAACTGATACTTAATAAAATGAACAATAAGATTAATTGAAGACAGGATATCAAGCAGCAGTAGTAATCTTCAGGATTAAGTATCTCTATTTTGAATATTTTAAAAGTCAATGTTAATGTTTAATTTTGAAAGAGAAGCTGAAAATTATATCTACTAGCTTGTGTTTTGTTTGCCAGGCTGTTCTTGTGTTTTGCCTATTGTCTGCTCTATTATCCTGTAAAAAGCAACAGAGAATCCTGTGGCACCTTTAAGACTAACAGATGTATTGGAGCATAAGCTTTCGTGGGTGAATGCCCACTTCGTTGGATGCATCTAATGGAAATTTCCAGGGGCAGGTATAAATATGCTGGCAAGAATCAGTCTGGAGATAACT